GCCTTCTTTTGAGAAGGGCCGTCATGACTGAGTTTGTCATAGTTCCAGAGCAGGATGAAGGCAGCCTGAAGTGGCTGGGGTGTCGGGGGGTCAGTCAGTCAGTGGGATCTGTCACTCCTCTATGTGTGAAACCCTGAAGGTGTCTCTTACTGTCCTGCAGTCCAGAGGTCTGATCTGTCGCTTTAAGTTCATCTTTAAAATAACTTGACAGGAATTTTCTTTCATTAAAAATGATGCAAGCAACATTAAGCTAAAAAAATCAATTCATGTCTACGTTTTGTATCTATTTTAAATGGACGTTAAAGTTTGCAGAGCTTTTTCTGCTTTAAGTAACAGTATAGTATCAATACAGATGACCTTTAATTATTTGCATCCTTTTGGAAGACCCGAGAAATACTTGAGTATTTAAGGTATCGAGCTACAGTGCATAATCAATTAGAACATAGTCAGTGGCCCGCATTAGGATTCCATTTCACTTATTAGACCCCAACTGAAGGAACCGGGACCCCAACTGAGCAAGAAAAACGACTAGCTTTGTTTATCTGTGGAGATTTCTGTTCTCTCCACTCTTTCATCTGTGTCCCTGCCAGTGGAGTGTTGTATGTTATTGGTTATAGTGTTGATTTACAGAGTCTGTAATCTCTGGGATTCATCTGGAATGAGAGCTTTCAAGTTACAGAAACTAATGTGTGTGATCATAGCTAACCTATAGATTACTTACAAAAGTGTAGTAATTGTCACTTGTTACAGTATTCTTTTCTTGAGTTGCTTCATTACTACAGAACTGAGGTGATCTTGTGGATTTGTTTATGTGGATGCTCCATAGGCCTTGTTAGGGGATTTTAGGGTGTTATAAAGGTCATTTTAAGTGAGGCTGTGAGAATGGCATTGAGAAGCAGCGTTCTGGTGCTGAGCAGACAGGCACTGAGAACTGAGGCCTGGGTGATCCCTGAGGTGGGATTAGGGTAGGGACTCACTCATCTTTAACACTTGAAGGGTTGATTATAATTTTGTATGCACACTCCTGCTTGTTGAATCCTGGTCACTATCGGCTGGTGACATGACCCAGACTTGAACCTGATTTCTGCATCATGGTGCTTCACCTGTGGTCCGAGATTTTGGCTTCCATGCTTGCTCCTCAGTGTAGTTGAAAACCTTTTTTCTCCCTAGAGTTTTAAATTGAATGTAACTGCTCATATGTACTGCTATTCTGTTAGTAATACCTTTTCCGCTCTGGTTTGCAATGCTTGCAAAGTACTGAAGTTGAGAAATGGGATTAAAACATTAAATAATTGGCAGAAGCAAGCTGAGTACGGAATAATGCTATTAAACACTGATTCCAGACTCATTGCCTTTCACTTCACTTGGAGAATTCTTACGATCTCTTTTTTGCTGGAATTGTTAGCAGAGCAAATCTAGGTTTTAGCTGTAATCCAGTCTCGTGGTAAGAAGAAGAATGATAGAACATGGGATGCTTTTCCTTGTAGTATTGACGATGTCCTTTGAAAGCTGCTTGATGGGGCAGAATGTTTCGGTAAGTGCTAAAGCACACCCTGCTTCTTTATAGTGCGGGTTTTCAACATGGCAGCTTCTGCCAGTGGTGCATTACATCAACTTCCAGATGTGCTTTATCTGTTTAGAACTTAGGGGCTTACCGGAAAAAGATATAAACCTTGATCGTTTTGAAACATTTTTCTCCTCGTTTCCAAAAAGGTAAGTGATAAGTTCAATAATGTGCTGTTCTGATTGTAGGATGTCTTCGTTCCTGTTGTTGAATGTTCTCTTTTTCCACGTGCTTACCTTTTGGGGTGCTTGTTATTTAATTGGATTTAAAGATACAAGGGGTGTACTAGTTCAGGTGGGTAGCTGCGTCAGCATGCGTAGGCTGCAAAGGAACAAGTTATAGGTTTATTCCATGCTGAAAAAAAGAAAGGGGTGTACTGTTACTTTAGAGATCACTGGGTCCCCATTTAACAAGAAAAACGGGCTGTGGTTACTTATCTGTTTAAGTAAGTAATATGGTGCCCTGATATGAATCCCTTTGAAGAATAAAGTTGCTAATGAACTTTAAAATTGTTTTCTGTTAATATTTCATGGAGAAATCATCAGAAAACTGTGTAGCGCTCTCAGGATTCAATGTGAAAACACTGAATGACATGCAGTTCGACATCTGCTATTTCCAGTGTCTTTACAAATCGTACCGGTCGGAGTAAACTTCAATCCCATCTCACTTGCTTGCCCTTTTGGCTTACCCCGTTTTACCATCAGAGTCATAACCTCCACAGGATCTACAACCGAGAGGCACGTCATTAACACTGTGGTACAGTTTCTACGCCTTGTAGTTTTTTCCAAAAAACAAAAGTAGAATTCAGTTGAAAGTTCAACGAGGCCTTGCTTATGCAGTGTTAATAATGAAGGCCGATTAGTCTGAGGGAGGCTGGCATTGAGCTCCAGGACTTCCAGGGGTGTCTCCCCTCTCCGGGTATCGGCTGGTCAGATCAGCAGCTTCGTGTACAGTGTCGGGCCCGGCAGCTGGAAAAGCCGGGCACTGCCGACCCTCCAGGTTTTGCTGTCAGTGCGCCGTCCCTCCAGTCTTGCATGATGAGCTTGGCCAGGAGCAGCAAAGGGTACAGGGGTGGGGATGGGGGGGGTGAGAGCTGGACCGAAAAACTGGAGCGGAGCGCCTCAGGCAGCTGGGCTTTAAACCGCCCACAGGTCAGCGTCACCACACAGCATAGGCCTTCTCTCCCTCCCTCTCCCTTATAGTGCTGGTGTCATTCATTCGGTGCCAAGATAGCTTTATTAAAAAAAATTCCGTTGGCCCTGGTTCAAACAGGAGTACAGCTGGGATGTGTTAAATTTTCGGCAGACTGCCCTCAATTTGAGATGAGTTATAAATAGCTCTGTTGTCGACTTCCTTAACTAAGGCTGAGTGAGGTAAAATTCAGGTTAATAACCGTGGGAAGCAATTAAACTTTTGTTGGGAGCGAAGCGCCAGCTTTCAGGTTGTGAAGTGCCCGTCGTGCCGTGGGGAAAGATAGACATTGATGTCGAAATTTGATCCAGGATCCCCCCTGGACACCCCTCCTCATTCCTTCCCATGTCTAATGAGATTCTTCGGGATAACCGCAGCAGACCACAGTGTAATCTGCTCTAGCGTGTGACATGGGACTGCATTAGTCATGTGGCCAGTGATGGAGAGCAGTGCTGGATGCATGCGGTGAGGTTTGCATGCCACAGATAAGACCATGTCATTGTTGGCCCACATTCTCTTTCCTTCTTTTCTGTTCAATCACTGACATCCTGCAAGTGAAAGAATAGTGTTAATAGCACAAAGTGGTCTTAGCACAGTGTTTTGTACTTTAATGTTGTTTTCTCTTTGTCAGCATTGTTTTCTCAAAGGAAAAGGCTTCTTTGTAAAATTGATAGCAGCTATTTTTGCGATCTATGTTTTACTCATTTTAAGGTTAGTTTGTTTTTAATCTTAAGTCAGTTGTTAATTCATTTCATTGGTGGGACAAACCACAGCTTGAGTACATCTGGTTGGCAGGAATATTTTATGATGAGTGCAACTGTTTCTTATTTAGAGGGCTTATTACCAAATTACATTTTATCTTGATATTGTATTGAACTCTGTTCTTGCTGTTCTGTTCCTTTGCATTTACAGTGCCCTCCAGAATTATTGGCACCCTTGGATGAGCAAAAAAGGCTATGAAAAAATGTCTTTGTTGTTTATCAGCTTGATCTTGTATTGAAAATGAGAGAGATTTAACCTTTCAGTGAGGTAAAATCATTCAATGAAGAAATCTTCACAAAAAAATAAACATTTTTCTCAAATCACAATTATTGGCACCCTTAGAAATTTCTGTGTACTTGATGACTTGGAGAAATGTGGTTTTTATTCAATATACCCCCCTTTATAAATGACTTGTAGTTCAGAAGCTTGCATTTTAATTTTTTGTGAAATAGTAAATGCAATTAATCAGCTCTTCCATGCGACATTACTTAAAATTTGCCCCTTTGGTTGGAAACTACCCAGCAATCACAGATTTCCTCCCCAGTAATCAATAGTGCCCACCTATTGAGTCACGATCTGCTAGCAGGTCCCAGCAGTTCACCCCTGTGGAATTTGTGATAAGAAGGGAATCCATTTCTTGAAGAGCGGTTGGTGATGACACTCAATATGTGGCAGTTTTAACTGTGTGGTCCTAGCTACGAAATGCACTTTTTATAAAGAAGGAAACCCTTTTAATCATTATATGGTAATGGGAAAAAAACTTAAAGAGTGCGTAGACTTCCTAGGTTCAGTGAGTAAATTATAGATAATTGACATTCACTCTGTCTGTGTCTGAGCAGCCTTCGTCTTAGTCATGGGAATTCCCATGTGAACCTTTTGATCGTTTTAACATTGCTCTCTTCTCTTCTTCTGTCTTTTGCCTGTGAATTGGTCTTAACCTTAATGCTTCCCTACTTTACCTAAGTACAGCTGGACAGGTGAAATGAGAGGTGGTCCCATCACACTTTAAACATGCGCCTTTTTATGAATGTATTAGTTTGAAAAGTCTTAGTTGTCTGTGCCTGCGTGCCACGGATATTCATGTTCAATCAAGTGGCATTGAAGTACTGTTTATATCTGGTTTACCTTCATTTCCTTGTTGTGTTTTGTGAACCTCTTTGTGCAGCGACTGGGGCTGTGGAGTGGAACACGGTTTCCCAGGCTTGCCTTTCCCTGATGTTAAAGCCTGATGACATGCAGCCCATGTCTTCTCCCATTTGGCTCGGGGAGGTTGTTTCGGAAAGTGTTGGCTTGAATAGCGAGCGGGCATTCCAAGTAGAATAAACACTACTAGGCTTGTGCAAACTCGGCGGGATGTACATTAAATATATAACTCAACCATACAGTATCATCCTCGATTGAATACGGTGGTTTGAGATTTGTAAACTGTTTTTTTAAGAAAGGTCGGAGATAAGGCATTGAAGTATTTCTCTTTCCCCCCCAGCCTTCAAGCCCAATGGACCAGATGGGGAAGATGCGAGGCCAGCCCTACGCAGCGGCCAACCCCTACTCCCAGCAGCCTCAGCAGGGGCCTCCTCCAGGGTCGCAGCAAGGGGCCTCGTACCCAGGGCAGGGCTACGGCCCCCCCACCCCACAGCGCTATCCCATGGGCATGCAGAGCCGTACGCCGGGTGGCATGGGCAGCATGCAGTATGGGCAGCAAGTGAGTCTGGGCACTCGTCCTACACCACTGCAGCTCCAAAATGGACTTGTAATCCAATAACGGTCTACCCTTTTGCTAGCCCCTTCAGTGATTTATTTCACCGGAGCAGGAACAGGAGCCATCACTGCCCAGTTGGTTTCTTTATGCCGTACGACATCCCAAATCGATCTTACGTGTTGAAAAACTGACCTGTTTGGATAAGTAATGTACAATACTTAACGTACTCAGCATTAAATTTGTGGTTCATCACCTCCCACGCAGGGAGGAAGAACCTCTTGGTTTTGGTACTTTTTTGGAAACATTTGCCCATACCCCTCTTCTCAATTTTGAATTTTGTATTTTTCAAAAAAATATTTACCGCATTTACAGTTATCCTTTTCGACTATCTCTTTTCTTGGAAGTTCCTTATGAACTCAATTTTGGAGCGCCTTTTGAACATACAATAATAGCGTCCATTAACTCTTTTCTCATTTTTAATTCTCAGTAAACGCCCGACGGTTTGAACTCTACCCTGTCGGTTTCCGCGGTGGGAGTGCTGGGTCACCTCCGCCTCCTGCTTGAACGTGTCCTGTTGTTGTGTTCCCATGTAGATGCCTCCATACGGACAGCAGGGGCCAGCTGGCTACGGACAGCAGGGCCAGGCCTCGTACTACAGCCAGCAGGCCCAGCCGCCGCACGCCGCCCAGCAGCAGTCCCCTTACCCGCAGCAACCTCAGAGCCAGCCAGGGGCGCAGACTCCCTACTCCCAGCCCTCGGCCCCGCTCGCCCAGGCCCAGCCCCCCTACTCGCAGCCGCACCAGACCCCCCAGTCCCAGGCGCAGCAGCAGCAGCAGCAGCAGCAGCAGCAGCCGCCGCCAGTGCCGCCCCAGTCCCAGGCTCCCTACTCCCAGTCCCAGGCTCCCCAGTCCGCCCAGCCTCCCTACCCGCAGCAGCAAGTCCCCCCGCCGCCGCCGCAGCAGCAGCAGCAGCCCCCCTCCCAGCCGCCGCCGCCGCAGCCGACGCCAGCGACCCAGCCGCAATCCCAGCAGCCCCCGGGACACGCCCCTCCCCAGCAGAGCCAGGCCGCCCCCTACTCCCAGGCTCCTCCACAGCAGCAGCAGCAGCAGCCATCTCCTTACCAGCGGTTCCCCCCTCCGCCTCAGGTACTGTGTGGCTTGTGTTCCTGCCCTGAACACGGCCCCCGTCTTTCTGCCGAGTCAGTGGGACACGCGCATTGTTTTCTTTCTGTATCTGTCCCACGTCAGGTGACCTGAAAAATGAATTCTGCTGTTTAGTAGCAAGTCGTGGGACCGGTCTAAAATAAATGGCTGCTTGCCATTGGATTCTGCATCGGCGAACATGTTCTTCTGCACAGTTGGGCTTGTCCGTGCTCTTAAACGTCCCTCGTGTTAGCTTCACTCAAGTCCCGAGTGTGGATTTGCTCATGTTCATGCTGCCTTAATAGCTTTTGTATGTAATGTGGTGTTTTTTGGCAGGGGGTTTGACATTTGCACTCTGTAGGACAGATTGCTGGACCACGTGATTTCCCAAAGCTTGATTACAAATGCGTTTCATATTTTAAAACTGCTTGCGGGAATCCCAGTCTCTTGCTTTTTACCGGTGAATAACAAAAGCAACAGTCGGTAGTGCAGTTGTAATTCATGTTTCGATAGACAAATCAAGCTGTTAGGAGAGCCCAAATAGTGGGGGGGAAACTGGGGGGAAAGATGGATCTTGTAGTGGTCTAATGATACAAATTCTGCTCTGTAACTGATCGAACTTCCTGTGGAGCCAACACTGTAGCTGCCCTTTGATCAGTGACTGTTTTGCTACAGTGATTTGTAGCATGGGATATTTTGAGGTGATGAAACAAGCAGGACATTGACTGTGTTCCCAGTGTAAGGGTACCAGAAACATCATGATGGGGAAGAGGCGTCCTCTTGGGTTAGTAGATACAAAACACTAAAGGGGTGAATGCTCAATGTGGGGTGATATAGTTAATAATCTACCCAAAGGATCTGTATTGTGACCAATGCTGTTTTTAATTTATCTGTTAAGTAGACTCTAATTTTATAGTTGGTAGTCTGGTCAAAATGGATGATCAGAAAAGGAGGATTAGCCAACACTCGAGGAGCTGCAGTTTTCTCATTCATATTGTTTGGTTCGAGAACAGCTTTCTGAACTTAAGGTCCTTTTACTGCTGAGGTAGCTAAATCGTTTGTCTAATCATACAGCCTGTGTTTGATGTCGCAGATCAAGTTTGACAGAGGAGTTTTTTTGCATGTAATTTGGGGAAAGACATCCTGTCCACACAGTTCCTCCAAATTTCAGAGCAGCCTCAGTGATTGATCCACATTTGTGTTAATTGAAACTGTACTAGTGGGTTTTTGTCTGATTTTTGCAAATGGTAATAAGGACCTTGTAATTATGCAATTGGAGAAATAGTTGGTGAGGTTAAAAGAGCAGTGGAGAAATTTTGATTCTTCGAAGAATGGAAAATCCAATATCCTTGGTTTGTTCAATGTGTAGCTGTTGCCAAAGATCAATATTAATAGTTTAAGGGATTTGTTTTGTTTCTGTACAGCTAATGCCAAGTAAAAACTATTCTTTCTTTTTTGCCCTGCAATGTCCCATTAACCTTCCCATTTATTAAATCTGTTTCCTAGTTAAAAACATGGAACCTCTGCTGATCATGATTTAAAGTGAAATGCTTCTCACTTATCACTGGCACTATTTTACCAGACCCTCAAACAGATTTTATCAGATCAGTTGAAATTCACTGATCCCGCAGTTTGTGAAGGGAATTTATTCTTCAAAATTTGTGAAATTACGAATGACATGACGAAAATTAAAATTCCCATTTCTTTAGTTGTAACTCAAGGTTCTCAAGGTCTGAAAATTTACCTTGTGTCTCTCATTACTACATTAAGAAATCTAAATTGTCAAAATAAGCATGTTTATCTAGGTGCTCCAGTTCTCTCCCGTAGTATAACGACATTGATGGGTTAATTGGCTTCTTGAAAAATTGGCCCTGGTGTGCAAAAAATGAGGAGCATGTTCAATGATCAAAATCACTAAGAAAAAAAGCTAGATCACAAGGAAAGCAGTTACAAAGTGATGTTCTAAAGTACTTCGTATAAATACAAAAAATTGTGTAAATTGCAAGATAGTATAAACAAGCGGATATACAGTTGCTGGTTTAATTGCCCAAGTTCTTGAACATCATAACCCAATATTTCTCAGGAGAAGAGACTTCCATAGTGTACAGTCACAGCTATATTTTAATTATGGTTAATGGATCTAAAAAAATGTCCATGCTCGGAGGTAATGAGTAACCTGAGATGCAATGGCTAATTGCATTTAAAGGGAGGTATTTCATTGGACGATAAACCCCCAAAAATACAAAATACTGTAGGTGAATACTTAGCAATGGTCATGCCTAGGTTCCAGCTCATTTGTGGTTTGAGTGTCTTGCTTGAAGCACCTTTAAATCTAAGGTGTTCTGCCACAGCTGGACAGTTCTAAGCGATCGGACATCCAGCTCATGTGCCCTGGCTGTGGTCTTCCTTCCTCCCTCTCATTCTTGCCATGATGCTTTTTTAGGAGCTGTCCCAGGATTCCTTCAGCTCCCAGTCTAGCGTTCCTCCTTCCAATCCTGCTATGGCTTCCAGTAAGAGTGGCTCAGAGGACGTTAACATGCAGGGCCGGCCCTCCAGCCTCCCGGTGAGTGTCCCCAGCCTTCGGCCCGATCGCTCCCCATCGCTCTCTAATCGTTTACCTTTCAGATTTTCCGCCTTTTCTTCTCATTGCTTAGCTGAACGGGACTGATTTACTTTACACCTGATTGGTGATATTTTCACTTGTGAAACTTTAAACGTTTTAAGAAATGTTATAGTAGTAAGAAAATATCCCAGACCTGGTTAAATAGAACTAATGTGTGAAAGATAATAGTAAAACAAATTAGTGGGGGGAAAAACAATCGTTTGATCATTTTAGATTGTATCTACAAAGAATGGTTTAAGTATGGCTTCTGGTTTGCCTTTTTTCTCCTCATCTGTTTTTTGCAGTTGTTGATGATCTGGGAGTTAATTGGTGTAAAGTTATCTAAGCACTAAATGTGTACAAACAGAAGTACATTGCTGTCTTTAGAGCAATTGAATAATGTTCCCTCCTTAATGCTGGGTTCTGCCAGGTGCTGCTGGGTGCATTCATGCTAGAAGAGTCAGCCGTCTGCTGAGGGGAGGATAAAAACGGGAACTGAATGACAAGGACAGAAGTCTGATGCACAAGGGGTTTCTAAAGTATAAAAAGATGATTGGCAAGAAACAACTTTGCAGAGAAGCTGTAGATAAAATAAGTTGTACACCTAGTTATCAGTTGCCCATTTGAAAGTCACTATCTTGATTAAAGAGTTTTCACGTAGCTCTTCAACAATCTTTTTTCCTACCTGACCTGACCAAGCAGTAACATTGATATCAGCTTAGAGAAGACCTGGAGTCTGGACTGTTTCTGCTTCTAGAGGACGTCCCATTTGGCACCTGTGAGCACTTCTGTCTGTTTACAGGTGCTTCATTGGTACAGTGACCTCCCTGAGAACTTTATCATTTAATATGCAAGTTTATTTCATTGAAACAAGAACCTAAAGTTGTGCAGAAGAAGCAGCTGACTTTCAGTGTGCTGTAAACTCCTTTGCTTGAGAATGTAATGCGATGTTAAGAAAATGCTTTATATAGTTAAGACACAAATGATCAAGAAATTTCACTTGGAATATCAGAGATGACTGCTAGAAAACTAAACTTAGCAGATGTAATAAATTCCAAGTATATAGATGCCAGATATTTAAAGATCCTTGTAAAGTAGGGCTTTTTATAACTTCTGTAACTTTAAGCCAAACACGCAACATTTAAGAAATGTTCCTTGATAAACTGGTATTCTCTAATGTACTGCTCAGAGTTTCTCATGTTTCTTGGCTCTCAGTGATTTGGGTTCTAGTGCCGTGTTCCTGTGAGGGCATTGGAAGTCTCCTAGGTGACTTTGGTTGGCTCCGTCATGGTGTGTGGGTTTCGTGATCTCTTGACTTGTTCAAGGTGGCTCGTTGCTGGGCTGCGCTGGCAGTAGGTGCTGAGTGGCACCGGAGGGCCGGAACCGTGACCAACATGGCCGATGTGGTACCGCAACGCTACAGGTGTTGAAACCCAACATGTTTTGGTAGTACAGCCAACGGACTGTAGACCAAAAAGATGAGGATTTGGGTTGTTTTGATTCCACATGGCAATAACCTTGCATCTCTTATATAGAAGTGTGTGGGGTTTACTTTTTTTGGTGTGGTGGAGGTCGCCACCCATACGAGTGTTTTACCAGCGTGTTCAGAGTAGAGAGCTGGGAGCTTATGTCGACAGCAACCTGTCAGCATGAGAAAATGTAATGTCTTGGAACTCTAGGCCAATAATGTTGAGATATTTGAGTGCCCGGATAGCTTGATAGTTTGTAAAATGACCACAATTTGGCTTAATTTAAAAATTAATTTCAGTGCCATTTAACCTGTGAGCTAGTGTTGATGCTCTGTAAAATGTTTTCATTTTTCTACCTTTCAGATGAAGCAAACGAACACTAACCTATCTCAAGTAAAGCTGTGGACGTTTATTGAAAGAGAAGTGAATTTATTTTATAATGGTTGTGAAATCCGTATACTTAACTCTCTATTGCTGCTGATACGCATTTATAGAAAACGCTTGGATTTCTGTTCAGTTTTTTATTATTAGATGTGGCATCATTATTATTGGAGCATCGATTTGTAAGGGGGTGGGGTGTGAGCTGCGGTTTGTTCGGTCGGTTACAGAACAAACCGTTACATGGTTACTCTGGGATTGCAGTGGTTTGAAAATGATTGAGGGTTTGAACTTTCTTTGCTGTGGAGAAGTGGAATTCTTTGTGGTATTATGTTAATTGGTTAACAAATGGTGTTTTTGGCAGTGATAAGAGTGTTTTTCTTTTGTATGCCAATAGGCTGTAACCAAGGGGATCCTCTAGGCCCTGTTTTGGAGGCCATGGAATTAGATCAGGAGGTTACTCTTTTTCAGAGAAGTCCCTACTCTTCTGGTTTTGATTCTGTCAAGAGTAATCAGGCTATTGGTGGGATGAGCAGATTTCACTTAATCACTGCTTCCTGGATCACTTAATCACTACCTTCTGGATCTGTCACATTTTGTGTAGAGATTACTGTGTGCCAACTTGAGTAGGGATCTGATAACCAGTTTGTCCGGTTTTTCAGGCTATCTTGTGGCTCATTGTGTTTGCTGTGGTGAATGGATTTAAAGCTAGAAAAGATACATTTTTTTGCTTTGTGTTGGTTCCCTTGTTTCCAACCCTATCAAATTACAAGTGTTCAAAGCCCAGTTTTCTATTTATTTATTCCTTTTTCAATTATTAGTACATAATCTGTTTGGTTTGATATGCTGTTGTATGGCAGCAATTAAACCATTTGGTCTTGACATATATTTGAAGGTAAAGTCTGTTAGTTGCTCAAAGATTTCTATGCTAGAAATGCTACCTGCTTTATTTTTGCAAAAAGAGCAACAAAGTTCTTGACCCAGAGAACCAGAATGGAAATAGATGGGACAGTCCAGCATGCTGTAGCAAACTAGAAACTGGATCAGCAGACCTTGAGAAAGGAGAGGCTAGGGGGGTCTTTACTGAGGAATTAGGAGAAGAGTAATGCCATCAGAGCATGCCTCCTTATCCAGTGGAAACGTTTGAGCTGTCCCATCCAGTCTTCCTCCCAATGGCAAGTGGCAACAGTTTGACAATAGAAGAGTATAAGTGTCAATCTGTTACTGGCTTCGAGAGATTGAGTGTAGAGCAGGAGGCAACGGGGAAACACAGCAAGGAAATGTGATCACTACATCTTCATTGATGCCAGCTGCTTTTTCCCAGCATTTTTATTTGGTATGGTCTGTTGTTCGGGGTATATTCGACTCTTATCAGAAAGCTGGGACTTCAAGGTATTTTTAAGTTGTGCTACAGGGGTCAAAATACCAAGAGTAGCTTTTCAATTTCAGTTGAATTCAGTCTGTAATTTGAGCACCTCCTGCCTGTTTCACACAATACAATAGAAGCCTTTACAGGAATGTCATATTCAGCAGTACTGCCACTAAATTTTTATTAGTTTTTTTTTCCCGGGCTGTTATACCTGAGCTGATATTAATCTTTTCAGAACTGTAGGTGGATTAAATGGGAAAAACTATGATTTTCCACCATGTGGGGCTTTTGCATGTTGAAAAGTGGTCTGTAAGGAACTGTAAGCAAGTACTGTCAGCTTTCCCTTACTGTTTACAACAGCACACCAGCTACATAGTTTTTAGGCAGGGAATGGTCTGGTTAAAACAGTCATTCTTTATCTCTTAGGCAACTTGTTTTTTATGTGGCAGCTGCTAAATTAAAGTTGTATTCACACAATGACTGTTCAATGTGAAAGGGTGAGTTTATGCAGTGATTAGAACACGTTTCTTCCTTTAAATCCGGGCTCAGGCAACTAGCTGATACACCTCCAAATGCCATTTCCTTTACACGTATTTTCGTGAACTAATACAAATTAACCCTCTTCAGCAGAAGAAATGACTATTAATTTGAGAGGACAGCTTTGAAATACAATGGAATAAAGTGAGATGAAGACATTGTCACGGACATAAAAAGTGCTCATCTCCAAACACAGCCTATATGTGGAGTGCTGCTTTTAAAAACTGCTAGAGTAAAGCATTCATTTAAATAATAGTTTTATCTTAGAGGTTTCTCTTGTGGGTCACCAGCTATTTAAAGCATGTGCATTTGACAGTATAATTTTTAGTCCATCAAGGATGGCTGCAGTCCAGTCCCTCTAGACCTGTTAAAGTTGTGTAACAGCAGCTTGTTCTGTAATACAGCGTCACAGTTTGGACCGCAGTGCTTCTGTCAAGAAAATACTCATTTTTGCTCTAAGTCTGCTTCTCAATTTAGGTTGCCTCTCGATCTGAAGATTCTGGACTCTCATTTAAATGAAACATTCTTCATTCCTTTTAGAAATTAATAAAAGTGAACTAAGCCAAATCAAATGTTTGGAGGCCACAGAAAACATTATTCCTTCTGTGGGGCAGTTGGAGAGTGTAGAGGAATAGCCAGCATTTCTTGGATGGTTCTTCAAACTCTTCTGGTTTCTACATAACATGACAACGTCTTTAGACTTGCAAGTTTTACATGTGTGTCAGGCTTTGTCGTTTTTGCCACGCTGAGGCTGTTGGAAGAGAAGACCTTGTGGGATTCCCAGGGCAGCCGATGAGTCAGGGGTGCCGGTGTGCCGAGGTTCACATCGCTGCAGCCGAGAGCTGCCGCTTTGTTGTCAGCACTGTCACGCTTTCACTTTTCTGGAAAAGTCACATCCTCTTCCTGTTTGTCCGTGGGAAATCTTTTCTTTTTTTAATCTCTCTCGACACCTCAGCAAGACGGGCTTTTGTGCCGGAGTCCCGCTGAAAGCTAATCCCAGACGACCCCGCCCCCAAAACCCAAGTGTTGACCACTGCCAAGAGCGTCTCTTCGGGATGAGCCCCCCCCCCCAGCCCCCCGCCTGTGTGTGTGCGCCCACACTGGCTCACAGCCTGTGGGGAATCTTCCCAGTTCATCGGTGGTTCATATGACCGAGCTTGAGGCATGGTTGGTCATCTAGACTTTTTTTCTCCCTTTAGAATTTAATT